GGACAAATCCAAAACGCGCTCTCACCTGCATTTCGCGCCTTGGACACACACGATCTCCGCAGAGGGTTGCGCCGGACAAATCCAAAACGCGCTCTCACCTGCACTGCATTTCGCGCCTTCGACGCGCACGATCTCCTCAGAGGGTTGCGCGCGACCGGAACAAAACGCAATCTCACCTGCATTCCGCGCCCTCGACACGCACGATCTCCGCAGAGGGTTGCGTTTCGTGGTGCTCCGGCAGCACCGCCCCCGGCCTTAAGAGAGAAAAGAAAAGAAGAGCGAGAGGTGAAGATGTGAGATGCGCAGATGTGAGGATGTGAAGATGTGCAGATGTGAAGGTGGAGATGTAGATGTGCAGATGTGAAGATGAGCAGAGATGTAGATGTGCAGATGTGAAGATGTGAGGATGAGCAGAGATGTGAAGATGAGCAGAGATGTAGATGCGCAAATGTAGATGTGCAGAGGTGAAGATGTGAAGATGTAGATGAGATGTAGTTCTACAAATGTTTTTTTACGAAGAACCCTTCGCAGACGCTCTCGCGAAAAAAAAGTGTGTGAAGGGGAAAGGGATGAAAATGGGAACCAAATGAAGGGGACGGGAACCGATGAAACCAAACCTTACAAAGACCTAGGAAGACCTGCCTAGTTAAAATGTACGTGCTGTGTGTGCACCTAAGCTCACGACAGACTCCAACGAGTCTTGAACAAGCTTCGGCCGCTGCGGCCACATACGCCGTGCCAGAATGGCTGGCAGCTTTGACAGCTACGGTCACCTAACGGCGTGCCCGAAGGCTGCCTGCTTGTACTCAATAATTCAGCAAGTCTTGGCAAATGACTTTGGCCTAAGCCTACTTCGCCCGCTCTGGGCACGACGGGTCCACACCGGCCACTCTGCGGCGTCACGCTGAGCTCTCACGAGGAGAGACACACGTATTGACATGCGTACTGACTTGAAAGCGGTCGCCACACGCCGGCCTAAGTGAAAACCTAAGAAAGCCAGGACAGGTACAAGTAGTTCCCGGGCAAGCCGGCGGCGGAAGTTTCCTATAAGAACAAATTGACCTATAGGAGTGTCCACGTTCTCTCCAACATGCGCGTCCTCCAGTCAAACGCACGCGCTCCGGACTTTTGACCCACGGGATTCCACGTGTGTAAGGTGTGTGCCCCCTGCAGGATCAGCAGCTCACAACAGCGTACTGGGTTGTATTTTTGCCACGACAAGAGGGGTGTATGACGAGTGGTGTATTGACCAGCAGTTGAATGTCCTGTCCTGCATAAATGCAACCAAATACTATCAGTATGAACTGTGCCAAACCTGCACGCCGCGAGAGATGACTCAGCCGCGAGAGATGACTATAGCGAGAGCTGACTCAGCAGCGAGAGATAAATGAGCAGCGAGAGATGACTCACAGCAGCGAGAGCTGACTCAGCAGCGAGAGATGACTCCTCCGCGTACTACACTTGTACTACAAAGTGGCCAGTTCTCAGCTTCCAGCTCCACAGGTTGTTCCGCGTGCTAAAGTTGTACTAGAAAGTCGCCAGTCAGTTCTCATCTTCCAGCTCCCCAGATGCTCCGCGTACTGCAGTTGTACTACACAGTCTCCGCGTACTAAAGTTGTACTACACAGTCGCCAGTTCTCAGCTTCCAGCTCTACAGATTGCTCCGCGTACTAAAGTTGTACTAGAAAGTCGCCAGTTCTCAGCTTCCAGCTCCACAGATACTCCGCGTACTAAAGTTGTACTACAAAGTCGCTAGTTCTCATCGTCCAGCTCGCCAGATACTCCGCGTACTAAAGTTGTACTACAAAGTCGCCAGTTCTCGTCGTCCAGCTCGCCAGATACTCCGCGTACTAAAGTTGTACTACAAAGTCGCCAGTTCTCAGCTTCCAGCTCTACAGATTGCTCCACGTACTAAAGTTGTACTAGAAAGTCGCCAGTTCTCAGCTTCCAGCTCCACAGATACTCCGCGTACTAAAGTTGTACTACAAAGTCGCCAGTTCTCAGCTTCTAGCTGCACAGATTGCTCCGCGTACTAAAGTTGTACTACAAAGTCGCCAGTTCTCAGCTTCCAGCTCCACAGATACTCCACGTACTAAAGTTGTACTACAAAGTCACCAGTTCTCATCGTCCAGCTCGCCAGATACTCCGCGTACTAAAGTTGTACTACAAAGTCGCCAGTTCTCAGCTTCCAGCTCTACAGATTGCTCCGCGTACTAAAGTTGTACTAGAAAGTTGCCAGTTCTCAGCTTCCAGCTCACAAATTGCTCCGCGTACTAAAGTTGTACTACAAAGTCGCCAGTTCTCAGCTTCCAGCTCCACAGATACTCCGCGTACTAAAGTTGTACTACAAAGTCGCCAGTTCTCATCGTCCAGCTCGCCAGATACTCCGCGTACTAAAGTTGTACTACAAAGTCGCCAGTTCTCAGCTTCCAGCTCCACAGATACTCCGTGTACTAAAGTTGTACAACAAAGTCGCCAGTTCTCATCGCCCAGCTCGCCAGATACTCCGCGTACTAAAGTTGTACTACAAAGTCGCCAGTTCTCATCGCCCAGCTCGCCAGATACTCCGCGTACTAAAGTTGTACTACAAAGTCGCCAGTTCTCAGCTTCCAGCTCCCCAGATGCTATGCCTGCCACGAAATCTGCGCATGGAGGTTCACAAAGTGCTGTGCCTGCCAGGAAATCTGCACATGGAGGTTCACAAAGTGCTGTGCCTGCCAGGAAATCTGCACATGGAGGTTCACAAAGTACTGCACCTGCCACGAAATCTGCACATGGAGGTTCACAAACTGCTGCACCTGCCACGACATCTGCGCATGGAGGTTCACAAAGTGCTGCACCTGCCACGAAATCTGCACATGGAGGTTCACAAAGTGCTGCACCTGCCACGAAATCTGCACATGGAGGTACACAAAGTGCTGCACCTGCCACGAAATCTGCACATGGAGGTTCACAAAGTGCTGCACCTGCCACGAAATCTTCACTTCAAGAAACAAGTGAAACCTCTAATCCCAATGGACAGACGATTCCGACCATGCCCGAGAATGATCCGAGCATGACCCGAGACCGTCTCGCAACCGTCGTTCCGCAGACCTTGACTGGCCAGCTTCGGAGCCACCGGTTCCATTGAAAAATACAGCATTTCGTGCGTTCGCTATCTCTCCACAACGCATTTTGTATTGCGCCTGCTAGGAAATCTGCACATGGAGGTTCACAAAGTGCTGCACCTGCCACGAAATCTGCACATGGAGGTTCACAAAGTGCTGCACCTGCCACGAAATCTTCACTTCAAGAAACAAGTGAAACCTCTAATCCCAATGGACGGACGATTCCGACCATGCCCGAGAATGATCCGAGCATGGCCCGAGACCGTCTCGCAACCGTCGTTCCGCAGACCTTGACTTGCCAGCTTCGGAGCCACCGGATTGAAAAATACAGCATTTCGTGCGTTCGCTATCTCTCTGCAACGCATTTTGTATTGCGCCTGCCACGAAATCTGCACATGGAGGTGCACAAAGTGCTGTGCCTGCAACGAAATCTGCACGTGGAGGTTCACAAAGTGCTGCACCTGCCACGAAATCTGCACATGGAGGTTCACAAAGTGCTGCACCTACCACGACATCTGCACATGGAGGTTCACAAAGTGCTGCACCTGCCACGAAATCTGCACAGGGAGGTTCACAAAGTGCTGCACCTGCCACGAAATCTGCACCTGGAGCTGGAGTTGCCTGGAGCTTGAGCTGTTGAAACCAGAGCTGGTGTATGAGCGGTGTATGATGAGTGGTGTGTGATGAGTCGTGTATGATGAGTGGTGTATGATGAGTGGTGTATGATGAGTGGTGTATGATGAGTGGTGTATGATGAGTGGTGTATGATGAGTGGTGTATGATGAGTGGTGTATGATGAGTCGTGTATGATGAGTGGTGTATGATGAGTGATATATGATGAGTGGTGTATGATGAGTGGTGTATGATGAGTGGTGTATGATGAGTGGTGTATGATGAGTGGTGTATGATGAGTGGTGTATGATGAGTGGTGTATGATGAGTGGTGTGAGATGAGTGGTGTATGATGAGTGGTGTATGATGAGTGGTGTATGATGA